CTTGCAATATATTTGCCATTGCAATATGTGCATGACAAACCTTGGCGGAAAGAAAACGAGCCATTAATTTTACTCCCGTGTGGAATATCGGTGTTAGTTTAAGCGCGTGTGATCCTGCTCTGTTTTCGTCAGTTGCAGCCACCACAAGATCTGAAAGAAAACAAACTGAAAAGCCACCACAGGTACTAAAAAATTACGAACTGAAAGGTGAAATGTGAGTATTTTGAGATGCCATTTTTTGCATCATGTGGGGTTCCAGGCTCCTCGAGGTCTCTAAGGATGAAATTGAGAATATATCTAATAGAGTAGAACCAAGAACAAAGACCGAAGAGACACTCACACTCGTGTCACGCGCTTTTATTTGTAACTATGGAATACATGCCGATTCTGCAAGTAAGACTAATGATAATAGAACAAGAAACAGTCATTGTAATAAGATAATGATAATATTCATCGTCTTACGTGCTTTGTTCAAGAAACTACGTAAAGATAATACAAGAAACGAGGCCAAGATAAGGAGACGTGAGCTGACATTGAGCTTCCGTCATGCTATAGGTTACGACCGTCGTTTCGAAACTGGCAATGGCCCGAGGACACGATCATGAATGCTGGGCCAGGACGTCGTACTCGGCCATTAATATGTTTTCGAGAGATACGTCAGCACCGTTTACAAATGCTAAGCAGAGCATACATTGCATTTAGAGCCGCTGAAAGTGTCAGAGCTTACCTGAATGGAGCCCCTCGTCTCTCGTGCTGGCTTCGTTAATGGCGAGTCTGACGGTTATGGATGTAGTGATACTGCTCTTGAAATAGGGTTTGGTGGTCGCATATTCATCCCTAGAATTTATGGGCTGAGACGCGAACCAATCATGCAGATATTCATGGTCATGGCATGGGCGTTGTTGATCATGGAAGGAGGTATGGGCAGATTTACGACAATAGGGATTGAAAGGAATACGGAATATAATATAATAGTGTGTCCGCAACGTAAATAATAATAATAATAATAAAGTAAATACAATGAAAAACATGAAATAGAATGCTTCTTATTGTGCTTACGGTATTTTTGGGTGCAGTGAGACAGTAAAAAGAAAAGCTCCTGTATGTGTAATTAGAGAGAATGTATGAATTGTTATAAAATCTCTTTCCCGTGATTCTTATTGTTTACAACTTACTCTCGCTGGAACTGGGACAGATGCGAACTTCATACATGATCAGATTTCGCACAAATTAATTCTTAAGAGTATAGTAGATTATTTGCAAACAGTATGTAGAGGTATATAGATGATATAGCAGGTCGAGAGTGCCAAAGACTATATGATAATGTTAATGCTATTCTATTCGCATTGCATTCCTTGTGCTCATGTATGTAATACCACAAACACGTATTAACTGTAAGAAACAAAAATCGATTATTTCTTTATTAACAGTATATATTATTGTTAGTGTCAAATTAACCATCGGTTTTTTGTTTTCATATTGGTGATTTAAGACATAGTAAGTAAGATATAACTTCTGCAATATTGAACAGCAGGACCAGCTGTAACAATATAATTAGACGTAGTAAAAGCTGTAATAGTAATAAAGTAGTCGCAACTGCACTGTTACTACACCATAGCGCGTGAATTTACGGCTTGTACAGAACGGCGGAGAACTATTGCTATGTGGTACTTTATTGTCCATACTTCTTGCCCGGAAGATTATAGGAGGGTACTAAAGCTCTTGCAAGGTCTTGTTCGAAATAAACACACGCATATACTTGCATGTGAATATATATTACAAACTATGTGTGGTGTGTTGTGTGTGTGTGTGTGTGTGTGTGTGTGTGTGTGTGTGTGTGTGTGTGTGTGTGTATATATAAATACTTATATATATATGTTTGTGTGTATGTGTGAGCGTGTTTATGCGTGTGTGTGTTTATGTGTATGTGTGTGTGTGTATGTGTGTGTGTGTGTGTGTGTGTGTGTGTGTGTGTGTGTGTGTGTGTGTGTGTGTGTTGTGTGTGTGTGTGTGTGTGTGTGTGTGTGTGTCCGATAATATAATTATGATGTGTCAGTCGATCGAGAGAGAGAGAGAGAAAACAAGACAAACGGAAATGTATGTTAATTAAAGCTGATACCTATATAACTTTTGCACCTGGCATTAATTTATATGCAACTATTATACGTATCCTTTATCAAGTCGGTTAATTATCCCTGGAATCATAACCAAAGATCAAAATGGTACATTGCTAGACCTGTCTGACAGCTGTGAGTATTGTTAATTACGAGAAATAATCATTTGATAAAATAGCACAGAAAACATTCCTCCGAAGTTATATGCAACATAATGGCTGTATAAAGAGGAAAAAACAAACAAACTTAAAACAGCAGTATTTGAAAGAAAAGAAATCACAAAAGGACTTACAACGCGCAATCCCAAGCGTTAATAGTAAGCTCAAGCACAAATTAGTTATTTAAATGCGAGAGTGTTCAGAGTTCAAAGCACCGAATAGCAAAATACTCACGGGGCTTCCTGCATTTGGTGACGAGAGTGACGCCAATTTGTCCCACGTCAGCAGTGCCAGTCTCTGTAGCGGTGGTTCCAAAACTAATTGCTTTACGCGCAGACGGTTGAAATCTAATTGTTCCCTTCTCTCTATCTCTCTATCATCTCTTTACTCTTTCTTCGTCATTCTTCAAATCTTTCCCTTCTTTGAAAATCTTAATCTTTCATCTTAATCTCCTCTCTCTCTCTCTCTCTCTCTCTCTCTCTCTCTCTCTCTCTCTCTCTCTCTCTCTCTCTCTCTCTATCATCATTCTATCATATTCTACTGTTTCCTTGTCTCGCATTCAGTCTAATTGTTCTCTTCTCCTACCTCTCTTTCTTCCCTTCACTGTTTCTTTGTCTCTCTTCAAATTTAATTGCTCCATTCTCTCTCTATCATCTTTCTACTATTCCTTTGTCTCCAAATCTTTTTCCCTTCCCTGTTTTTTTCTACTTCTCTAATGATAACAAAAGATGATCGATATGATGATAAAGATAGAAGTATAGCAGTTATCACTATCTTTATTTTGATTTCATGAATTTCATTAAAAGCATTGTTTTTATTAGATAAAGAGGTGACAAACAATATCATGATAAGATGATAACAGAATTAATGACATTAATCAAGGTAATGATAATCACACCATCATTATATATGGTAGTGATTATAACGGTAATTTTAATGGTAATTATAAATTTGATGATGCTAATGATAACAAAGAAAATGCTAATATTGTTGCTTAATATTAATGGCATTTTTATTTTGAGAAGTATTTTAATTATCGTTAGCATTATCATTGCAATTATCTGTATTGTTTCTTTATCATTGCTAATATTTTCATTGTGGTTATTATAGTTATTATTATTCTGAT